GCAAATAAAAATTCAGTTATAAGTGATTTTTCTTATTTGAAGAATGTGTTCTGAAAATGCATAGGTTGTATAGTTTCAGTCCCATGAGATAGTCTTTACTACTAAATATGTAACAATTTCAAAGAAATTTAGAAGAATATAAAACAAGACTGATTATATGAACTAAATTCATAAATAGGAAAGTTTGCGATATACCAAGATGTCGCCCTAATCCATTCTCATCTCTAAACTCTCCTAAGGATAGTAATCTGAGAAGGTTTTGTTTTCAAGAGCTTCTATTCGACATTCGGTCTTTTTAGTCTTAATCACAAATTGTGGTTGTCAAAGTGGGTTCAATAAATAAGAGAATTTTGGAACTAACGTTCTCTAGGAGACGCCAAATGTGTACAAGAACAGTATAAATAATAAGGTTTACCTATAATGGTAATTAAACTAGAATACCACATAGTATATTTCAAAGACCTAACTAAATTTTGTGAATTCCTATGCAGGTGAAGGAGAAATGTCTGAACTTGTCATACTTTCCAAAATTAATACATATGAAAATATCGTGAGTGACAAGAACCCCACAAATATGTCAAAATATTGGAATATTTTTTCAACAGATTGCAAATGAAGTTACACCTTCCTGAATATATCCCTGAATAGCACATAATACAGTGTAAACCACACAGAGCCTGAGGTCACATACAGAACAGCACCCTGAGATTGAAGCATCTCAATAAGCTGAACGAATAAAATAACAAATGCACTGAGACGCAATTAATATTTTAGCTCTTCTTTTCTTGCTAAATCTGCATTGAAAATGGAGGGAGGGCAGCCGACAGAAACAGTTGTAGGCCAGATAAAACTTACTAATATTGCATCTTTGAGGAAGATGATCAAGATAAAGTTAAACAAAACTACTTTGTGCATCTGATATTACTTCTACATAGCTGAAGTCAAGTAGAAGAGTCAAATGCCTCCAAGTAACCATATGTTATGATGTTACCCTTAATCTGAGCCCTATAGAGTCCATAAATTAGAATATAGCACAGTATTGACTTACCGTGCTATCTCGAAACCCCTACTCATGCATTGCTTTGCTTCTCTCCTTTCCTTTTCTTTTCTTTTTTTCAGAAAGTGTTGGCAAGGATTACTCAAGAAAGTAAAAGTGAAGAGTGGTGATAGAGGGTCTGAAACTCCCAACCTAGATACCCAAAACTCCAAGTTTGTATTCACTAAAACCTAGATACCCAAAACTCCGAGTTTGTATTCACTAAAATTGAACAATGGATTGCAGAAACAAGAGTTCAAGAGCAGAAACAATTTATTGAGAGAAAAAAAGATTCTGTCTGAGAGTGAAATAGACAAGGTACTATTAGATGAGATAGAAAAATGCCGACCAACTATCAGGATGTAAACAACAAATTCCTAGTGACTTCCAAGATTCCAAAGGCAAACCCCAAATTCTAGTTCAGAGGTGTTAGAATATATGTAATCTTATACACGTTACATAAACATAAATTTTATATGAATAGTTTTTGGATATTAAAACTCAACAACTCATGAATTCAAAATTCCACAAAAGTCTAAGAAACCTTTTGGGTTAATTACAAAATATAACTTTGGACTTTGGACTTTAGCCAGAAAGCTACTGCTTATGCAATGATGGATTAGGAGAACCTACATGAATCTAAAGAATATATGGATGTAGACTTTATTGACTGTCATTAAACTCTGTAATATATCCAGAAAAATTCTGGAGCACTAGTAAAATAGTTTTGTTTCTTCTTCCATAAAACTGGAGTTATATCACAGATAGGACACTATTTGTAATGAAAGGAAATATCAAGTAGAATGACCTTACTCTTAGCTTGTAAGATACCACAGTATATAGATTTATACATTTTAATTAAAAATGGCAAGTCCAAATTATAAAAGTCATTGGATAATAGGTTCACGATTAAGAACAGGGTCAGGTTTTAAGCATTTTTTTTAATCTTATGATTGGGTTACATAATACAACCCATGGAAATGATTGCACAGTTTGATGATCTGTTCAATATATGTGGTAGAAAGACTCTTGATTTAAATCTAAAGTTATCAATCAGTGTCACTGAAACCTTAGTTTCACTGGTTATTCTACAAGGAAATTTTTGTTTATGACTGAAAACTATATTAACAATTTTAGGCTTCTAATTTAAGTTCATCTTATGACTTGTTTTAAAATATACTGTATAAAATCATTTTTTAAAATCTGACTTGTTCACAAAGTTCTAAAGTACTCATTAATTATATCAAAATTGAAAATAATTCTACTTATTGAGGAAAAATCTAAGTAACTTTTCCCAGAATGGTTTTAAATTGTCCTTTCCTGATTATATAAATAAAAACCACTTAGAACAGTGTTAAAATCCTACATAGCTGATATGCAATTTAAAATTAAAAATTTTGATAGTATTTTTAAAGGTAAAACTCAAATCTGTTAAATGTGAAATGTACAGGAAATCCCATAATTATTATTTGATGAATCTGGGCATGAAAACACTGTACATAACCACAGTTATACCTGTCAATTTAAACTTTTAAAGTTAAAAAAAATGATAAGCATGATTTCTTACTTAAAAATATTCACAATGTATTTTGTATATACCTTTAAAGTTATACTGTGCCTTTGATCAAATTTAGTAATTCTTAGAAGTTCTAAGTCCAATTCTCCATTCTTAGCTGACAGTTCCAGCTTAACATATGTCCTTGCAGCATCTTTCGTATTGTAAAGAATATACTTTTAGGTAGCAGTTGACAGCCCTGTTTTAATTCAAGTCAATTCCTTTTTGATACTGAATAGACAGAACTTCCTCTATTAAAGCTAGGCAAAAACTCATCCTTCAAATAAATCAGATCATTAAAAGACATCTAGAAAATACTTACATACCATATCTTAGTTTTTAAAGAAAAAGTTTAAATAAAGTTGCACCATAATATTCTAACCCACATCTTTTTAGCCACTATAAACCTCACACACAAAAGATAGGAATTTGGATAGCTTACAAACAACCTGAAAGAACTTCGATGAACATGGCTACAAGTCTCTTTCACTATGATTAAGAGGAATATGGCAGGAATTGTTTCAGAGCACATTTCCTAGTTGCTTTTCACTTTTGTCTGTATTATTTCATTCACTCATTTAGGTGGCTGGGCTTTACTACCCATTGTAATCATAAGATTACATTGTCAAAACTAGACTTCAATCTATCTTTCCTCAATATCAATGATAAGTAATCAGCTTCAAACACACAACAAGAAACCCAAGTTTCACTTAAGAATCAAAAGTTAAAAAGCATTTTCATAAGTTAAATTTGGCCAATATTTATTTTTCTATGAACTTTGTTTATCACATACACCCTTAAAGTAACTAGAGAAACAAGATCTTTTTTGAATAAGCTTGCTTCTTCCCTTCAGTGAAATGTTATATTAAAAGTGATCTAGTCTTTACTTTCTTCTAAATGAGTTTTTTTTTTCCTCCTTACATTTTTACATTTCCAGCTGGTTGAGTTATCTAAGTGGGGCCAGAATAATTTCAGTAACATCTCTACTCTTTGCCTCTTCTTCTAAATGATGCTCCACCAAAATCTGCAGAGTACATGAATTTTTCTTTTGCTCAACAGCAATCGACCAGAATATAAATTAACTTATTCATTAATTAAAAAACAACCAACCACATCCAGAACGACAATAAATACATCAAAAGAGCTTTTTTTTTTTTTTTCTTAAGTGAGCTAGAAGGAAGCAGCCAACAGATTGAAAGGAAAAGAGATGAATCAAATGGTCTACATCAATGTTAGAATTCTTGCAGGATGTCAAAGGAGAACTGACCACCCTTGGAAAACACGCATCACGACACAACTTTTTATTCCTCCAGACATATATTTTAAGATACAAAACGATTAGATTAAGAATACTGCCTTTACTTTGGAGGTCTTTAAAACTCTACTTTGCTCATTCTCAACCACTGCATAGAAAGAAAAGGGGACCCTACTTTGCTAAGGGACCCAGACTTTAAGGAATCGCACATTTGTCTGCTCCCATCTTACTTTGGCTCTGCCTTCTTCAGTGTGTAGCCTAATGGTAATTCTCTGCCTTTCTTTTCCTTCTGGAGGTGTACACTCTCCAGAGATACCAAGGCACCACAGCGGGTGCCGCAGAGAGGTGTTGAAGCTAAGGGAATCTGGGCGAAAAAGTCAATCAGCGTGCACCGTTCCCAGTGCTCCGCAGTGGCCCACCAATAAGGACTGCTAGTCCCACTGGGGCGCCGAGAAGAAGGCTCTGTGGCCCAGTGAGAAGCTTCCAGAGTCTGCACAGCTTGTGTCAGTCTGTCTCCCAGTGGCTCTGTGACACCGTGCTCGCCCTTCACCACGGTTACCCTCAGCCTCTCAGGAGCGACAAGCTGAAAGTTGTCAGCATGGGGTGTTCGCGTCCGTCTGCTAAGCTTAGCACTGACAACTTCTCACCGGAGAAGTTTGCAGCCAGCCAGGCCGCCCTCCGGGGAGGGGCTGGGTGAAGCACAAACTCCTACCGCGAGCCTCCCTCCAGCGCGCCCCTTCCTCGCGCCGGCCGATGGCGACGCGGCCCCGCCACGTCCCCGTTCACCTTCAGCTGCCTGGACCCCGGCGCGCCACAGGGCCCGGGGTCAGGACCCTGACACCCCTCCATAAAGCGCTGCACCCAGAGGCTGCCCAGGAGGAGGGACCGCGGCGCTCCTCAGCCTGACGGAGCGCGGAGTGCGGAGCGCCCCGCAAGTGTGAGAGCCACGCAGCCCTGCACCCCGGGCTCCTCTGCGTCCCTGCACCTCACTGTGCCCCACGCCCATGTGAGAAATAAAGGAGCACAGGGTAGAGCGAGCCCGGGAAGCGCAGCCCCTCCGGAGCCCACTGTGAGCTCAGCCCTGCAAAGGTCCTCGTGGACCAGAGCTGCGAGCTGGAGAGCCGGGGAGGAAGGGAGGAGAGAGGGAGGATTACCAGAGTTTTGTTCCCGTTCTTGCCGAGAGGGCCGCGGAAAACTCCCTTGATGTTGCGAAAGTGCCCGTTGCTGAGGCGCGTGGAGCTGATGACAATGTAGTAACACTCCATGGGCGCCGCGCGCTCCGCGCCCGCAGCCGCAGCCGCAGCCTGGGCCCGGGCGGTGGGCGGCGGGCGGCGGGCGGCGGGCGGCGGGTGGGCGGGCGGCGGCCGGGACCCGCGCAGACGCCGGCGGGGTTCGCGCTCAGTGCGCCCCGCCGCCGCCGCCGCCGCGCCCCCGCCTCCGCATCGCCGCTGCCGCGCGCCCGGCTCGGCCGGGCTCTCTCGCAGGCGCGTGGGGCGCGGAGGCGCGCGGGGTCCCGGCGCGCGGGGGCGGGGGCGCCCGAGCCGAGCCGAGCCGAGCGGAGCCCGAGCAGTCAGTGCGGGCGCGCGGGGCCGTGCACGGGCGGCGTCTCCCGCGGCGGCGGCGGCGGTGTCCCCCGCGCTGGGCGCCCGCGCTCCGAGTTGCAGGCGCTGGCGGGCATGAGTGTTATTATAGTGAGCGGCGTTGCCGGTCCATTGCACTGAGCCAATGGCAGGGAGCCACTGGGCTGATACTGAGAGCTGTCAGAGGAGTACATCTGTCACCGCGCTCCCGCCCTCCCCCGCCGCCGCCGCCGCCGCCGCCGCCGGAGACGCCGCCGCCGCTGCTGGGACCCAGCGCTGCGCCTGCCGGGCTCAAGTGGGAGCGCCCCGCGCCCCGCGCCCCGCCCCGGGCCGCGCCCAGTGTCCTGCGCCCCGCGCCCTGCGCGCCACGGCTGCAGAGCGCAAGGCAGAGGCGTGCCCACCGCAGGTCCCCACCACCCCGCCCCGGGACGCTCCTCCAAGGTGGGGGTGGAGGGGGACGCGAAGAGCCCCAGATTACTTCGCCTCTGCCAATTGGGGAAGAGGTGGGGGCGAGGGGGAAAGAAAGAAATTAAGAATTCAGTACCAAAGCCAACCCGCTTCCGAATGCAGAGGATCCGGGCAGGTGCCAGCCACTGCCTCTCCTGCTCCAGATAATTGCTACCCATTGGGTTCTGCTGGTTCGGTTTGATTTGTTTTTTCATGTATTTTGGGTATGGAGGCTTGAATCCGGTTCAGGATCTTAGAAAAAGGCGAGGAAAGGAAATGCACCCCCTACACCACCCATTTACTGATGTCGTAAGTGCCCTGTGGTGATAGTTTGGGGAGGGGGCGGGGGTGTTAGTGGAAATGGAGAGAAGCGAGAAAGGGACTCCCGGTGCCTGTTCCTGTCCTGGCATCCCTCTCATCCGCCTCCCCCGGGAACCCCCATTCTTCCTACACCGCCAGAGCTGACAGAGAAGGCTTGCTTTGCTGCAGAACAAACTGCTGCCGAGCTTGCCTTGCGTTTCTTGCCGTTCTGCTCCCACTGGAGTGGGAGTGAACAAAAGCAATGGCCCTCATAGCAGCGACCTGAAAGGGGACTGTCCTGCCCAGAAACGTAAGGCTTTGGCCCTGAAAGTGGGGAATGGTCTGCTGAGCTCCCTGAAGAATGATTACTGAGCTGACTCAGAAGGGGTCAAGGACCCTCTAATCAGCCAGGTTGTCGCCCGCCCCGATTCCCCCCCCCCCCACTTGATTTCTGTGTAAGTTTGGCTCCTCTGAGGTAGTGGGGTGAGTGCTTCCCATCAGGTACGCACACCACAAATCTGCTACTACCATAGGACTCATTAGTAGGCACTTAAAAAGATCGATAGCAGGCAATGGGAGGTTAGAAGATGGTGCCTTCAATGAATTTACCGAAGGCTTTTTTTTCCTTCTGCCTTGAAAGACTTAATTGGTTAAAGCAGATTCCAGATACTCTGATACCCCTGAGTCAGAGCAAACTGCAGTTTGATATCTGTTGTGTTTATCCTGCTTATTTGGGGTCAAGATGGTCGTTCAGTTTACCGTATAAGTCTTATAATGAGAATTTTATGAAGTCAAAATCCAACATACCATGATGTTCTTAATCTGACAGCTTTCTCTTACTTTTTGAAAGATAAACTTGAGAGAAGGGGAAAAAATTCTTCGTAAGAGAAACCATGGTCATATGAGCATAGTATGGATTATGGTTGGTAGAATGGGAAGTGCTTTCATAATATGAGACGTTCATTATGTATCGTGCTTCAGATTTTCAAAAAAAGATGTGGATTGATTAGAGCTCATTATGAAGTGTCACAGTTATTTAGTGGCACTTGGCTAAATTTCTCAGATAGCCACTTGGGGGAGTCTGAAAGTCTTGAGAGAAAGAGAAGCCAGAATTTACAAAACTTGCATACACTGGAAGCAGTCACCAATGATTGGTTAGAACTCAGGATGAACATAATCCTATTAGAAAAAATTCAAGAGAACTCAACTAAGAATTGCGTGTTAATTAAATCAACTTCTGGCATCTCCCACTGCAGAACTTTTTTAAAAAATGTGTATGTTGAACGTGCAACAGCACTTGAGGAAGGGCAGCGTGAACTTAATCATATGTTTTGAGGTTTTGGAGGATACTATATAGATAACATCTTTAATATTACTGAGCCATTTGAACGAAGTCTTAAGGAAATTAAAGAAACACACTATCCAAAAAGACCAGATGATAACGTGATTATATATTTTTAGGTTTTTAAAACAGAATCTTGATATGTAATTCAGACCAGCCTCAAACTTGCAGTCTTCCTGTCTCAGCCTCAGGAATGCTCTAGGTGATGGAGCAAACTTTATGAATGTATAAAACCTAATAATACAACCATAAAAGATTTCTTTTGTAATACTTTTTACTGAAACTAGTTCTGATGAAATATTAAGATTTTTGTCTACAGCATGAAGCTTACCTTCCTGTTCAAGAAACAGAACACAGTTACATGCGTTTTCCTGTGGGACAGATAATCATCTATGTGAACTGCCATATTGTAACTCCAGGAGCAAAGTTTGGATGTATACACACACACACACACACACATACACACACACACACACACACACACACACACTTTTTAGGCAGCACACTGTAAAATACACTTTAGAAAAATCCTCTTAGCAATCTCTGACAAAGATTTATTTTACTGTCAAAATATTATACCTTTTCTGCTTGTAGAAAACATGATGATAAAATGTGTTGACTTTTTTGGTCACATCTAATCATGCATAGTAATGACGGAAAGCATCCTATAAATCTAATGCTTGAAGAATATTAACAATTAGATGGAAATATGGAATGTAGTTTAACATTTATCCTTATCATTTCTTGGTACCTGAGACAATGTATCTCAAAAGTAGGTATAATCAACAAGATTCTGTATCTAGACTTAGACAAAGACTGGAAGGGACTGAGTATTTATTTTGTGTATGCTTATTCCAATTTAGTAGTCACGTTATAATGACCATTACTTTAGAATACTGATCATCTCAAATGATAATCACTATGCCAGTACTAGTGACTTCTGTTAATTGTCAACTCTTCACATCAACCTTAATGCTCAGCCAGCACTATGTGAAATCCACTTTCTAACTACAGCCATTACATATAACAAAATACTTACGTCAAAATGTAGAAAGGTTGCTTCTGGGTAAATCTGGGTAAAAATAAAGAGAGGGACAGGAAGCGAGGCCTTTCCCACTATCTCAGAGAAGACACTTATCTTTTCTGTAACAATAAATTCAGTAGCCAATGATAAATTATTGTGGCCTCTTGTCTTGTCCCCATTTTTCCTTTTGTCATAGTTTAAAGAGATTAAGCACATGAGTAAGCACTCCTAAATTTCTAATTGTGTTGCAAGCTTTTACAAGAGCCAGGGTCTATTTCTGTTACATAAAAGAGTTCTAGGCTCAGGTTAGTAGCACCCTATGAAATCCCAGCACTCTGGAGACTATAAGGCAAGGTTACACATTCGACCCCAGCCTAGGCAATTTAGTGACTGAAAGAGACCCTGCGTCAATATTTTTTTAAAAATGATAACAATCAGCTGGTGATGCAGCTTATGCAAAGGGCCTGGTTCAATCCCAGTACTACAAAAACAAAAGCCAAAATAAAGATCTGATTAATGAAGACTTTAGAAATCATTTTCCCATGAATTGTTCCTATAGAATCATGACATATTACTTTTAGAAAATGAAGATTTCTGTCTCAGTAGTTTGAACAATAATTTAAAAAATAATTTCATCATATATATAATCAATATGTCACTTCCATTATTTTACACTAATTAGAAAAATATCAGAATTTAATACATGTTTTTTTTGTTGTTGTTGTTGTTGTTGTTGTTCTAAGAGGAAACCAAAAGATATCATGGCATGCTAATTTGGTGATATAACAGTTTCATTGGATAAAAGTTGTGGGAGAATGTATCACCTCAGAGCCCACAGTAATCAGCAACTTCAGGCATGAGGAGATCCATATTGACACACAAACACTCACAAACTCTTATTTGAGATAGGATTTAATTTTCAGCAAACACCATCATCTGTTGTATTAAATTAAGATTGTAAATTTGGATGATTTGCTGTTGTATTTTCATTTGATTTCTGTTTTATTGTTTTGTGTTTACATAAGAGCTATATGCATATGGGTTGTATAATTAACTAGTTGTTAACACATTTAAGTAAAATTATGCCACAAACAGGCATTTTATTATAGAGAACATTTTGAAAGTGTCTTTTATCCTATTCCAGTATGAGAAACATTGAGATATAGTAGTCATGAAATATGTATTGAGGGCTGGGGATTTAGCTCAGCGGCATAAGTGCCTGCATTGCAAGCAGGCAGTCGTGAGTTCGATTCCCAGTACCGGTAAAAAACGAAAAAGACAAAAAAAAAAAAAAAAAAAAAAAAAAGAAATATGTATTGAATAAGTAATGATCATATATACCAATGATAATGCTCTTGTCTGGCTTGAAGGGTAAGGACAATTTTTAAAGTAGTGATTTGATAATTATGATATAAAGAAGTTCCATCTTCATATTCCTGTATCTGTATCCCAGTTATGCTGGGCTTAAATGAGAAGTCTGCAAAGAAAATAAAAAGACCTATAGCTTATATATGGGATACTTCATCAACATTAAAATGTATTTTTTTACAAACCTCCACATGAATGAGAACACACCTCCAATTCACTGTAGGGAGTCACTGATAATAACACACAAATCAATTAGAAATGTTGAAACTCAAAGTCATCTTAG